TCCCACATAGCCAGCGAATCGGTAGTAGGCCGTTGATATGGGAATACTAGGGACAGTATGGTGTTTTGGTGTGGTCATGCCAACAGTAGTAGTGCAAGGCAAGGCACAATGCTGTTTGACCTTGCGGTTGTTGTTCTCTTTGACCCACCCGATGGCTGGCCATAAACAAGTACAAGTTTTACTCGTAAATTTAATTTAATGGGAACCAGGCATCTCACGCTTGTCCAATTGAACTTGAGGGTAATCATAATATAGGCACTAATAGTTCTACCAATATGTCAGGCTACTGAGCAATCAGTTACATATAAGTTCAGTGCGTTACATATTAGCATAATGTGCTCTGGATGCACCTTGCTCTCTGTGCATATCTTTGTTGTTTTGTTTTGCTGCTGATTTACGAAACGTCAGAATTTGTTCTGTTAAAAACACTTTTTCGATGCCTTGTTATACGTTGATTAAATCTGAACTAACTACAATCAATTATCGGAATTATTAGAGACAAACGTGTTAACTCCCTCCCTCCGCACGAAAGCACATTGAAATAGACCCTCTGTCATCTGTCCTAGGAACGGATGATAAAGACTAATAGAAAAGACAGGTGAAAAATCCGGAAAAAGCCTGAAGAACCTTGATTTGCTCTCGCTTTCCGAATGCCAATCATTAAGCATTCTTCTGCATGATAATATTTTTCATCGAACTTCTCCCTTAGCTCAGAACATGACATTTGGTAAACAAAAGAAGCGGAAGACTGAAAAATGGCCCAGTGGACTAAGTGAGGAAACACAGAATAGAATAAACGGAATAATGTCTTTTCCGCCACCTTGGACGTTAAGGATCGAAGGTCTGTGAGACGATGTTACCCATGCTTGCACATCGGCTTCGTCATGTCTCAAAAATTCTTCTGAAGGAAAAGTCGCTTGGCTTTACTTGCTTGCGCTGAATATCATGCTGAACAGCCAGTCACCAGCTGAGCAAGGTGAATGGCAACTTTAGGAGGATCCGCGTCAGACGGCATGTCCTCATTGCCAGGTGACATGATCCACCGAAAAGCTGCCTTATCATTATTATTTATAGGTTAACGACTAGCTAGTCGTTTCTTGGTTGATTGCAGGGAAGCACAGAGGACTGAATTCCTAGCACAATGGAATTGGCTAAATTGTTGTGCGTCGAGCGTGGCACCCCGTAACTTGCAAGGTCGATCCCTTATTAATTTGCAACCCCGTCTCACACTTACATACAGTACCACAGAACGCGCTACGTTCCTCTTAGTCAGGTCTTTATCAAGTAAAAAATGGTTAAAAATGGCAATTTTTCTGACATTAGCCAAGATGGCGGACTGATTGAGCTAGTGACAAGTGATCGCTTGCTGTAATTGAGCGGATTTTTAGTATTTTTCCGGGAGCAGTGTTTCAGTCTAGTATTACCGTGTTTGATCATGTGACAGAAGGTCAGACGATGAATGACGTGCTGTGATTGTAGGAGATGGGGAAGACGCGTCGTTGCCGTCGTCAAGGCGCCCAGAAAATCCATAACTGAGTAGTGGCTGTGCGCGATTCGATGGCCATGAAAATTGCCTCTGCATTGAAACGGCGTTGCCCGTAGTAAATAGCGCTAAACGGTGAGGTAAAATCAATATTCGCTCACAATCATGTCCTCGGAACATAAAGGACAGTCAAAGGCACCTTTGAAGAATATCTTACGGAGAATGTCGACGCTAATCACAGGCGAGACGTCGTTTACGCTGCTGCAAGGTAAGAATGTGTTTCTTGTCGTTGCCTCATCCTTTCACTCATGCTTCGTGAGTTCGCTTCAGACCTCGAGAAAGAAATCAAGACATGGGTGGACACCGGCAACATCCCGAAGCTGGAAAAATTGGTGCTGAACGGGTTCGGCGACTTTCTGGTGGGCGTCATCGACGAAACAAACAACAAGACGAGTCTCAAGTTCCTGCAAACCCTGCCCCAGTACCAGGTATGAGTGAGTCAAACAAGCGACCAGACTAACGAACTAAATCCGAAATTGAATCCGTAGAAACGACGACGCCGTGACAATAATTTTTTAAACACGATTTGACATTTTCGATTCTGGGCTCCATGATGAAATTGAGGATAAACAGTTCATTCATGGTTGAGAGCACCATGCAGCCATGATATATATTTTATTAAATTTAAATTTAAAATTATGTGAACTGTCCATTGCACCGGTGCAAACTTCGTAGAAGTTGGCAATGGCACTCATGCTGTAAGCGATCACGATAGAGGAAGAGTATTCATGTTTCCACGCCAAGAGAAGGGCATGCTCCGTTATCAAAGACAGCACCGACCTTTGTCATTTACAGACACGTTCGTCTGGTTGAAGGACTGTGCCTCAGAAAGTGCGTGTTGCGGGGTATTAAAGTACTCAGCATGCCCGAAGAGGCATTGATTATCCACAATAACAAAAAATTAAAAAATTAACTCAATCGGTGCCACTTCATTTCTATTGTCAGGCGATTAATAAGTCTTTCGCTATTTGACATACTCGATGCAGATAAGTTATCCTGTTTATGCTGTAGCATTTAGGGAGTACCAGCCCCTGAAGCATCGTTCGTTGGTGGTTCTAGCGAACAAAACGATGGAGGTTGCATCTGGCTCTGCAGATGCTCAAATACCATAGAATAGTTATGTGCTAAAGCCCCCCTCCCATCCCGCACCCACAGACAACTGGGAACAAGACGGTGTGCAATATACCGTAGCATCTGGCCTTGGAATAGCCATTCGTGGTTTAATCGATTGACAGTAAAACGCATTTGTTTCGTCTATCGAGTCATTCGTGAAGTTATTAGGCTACGGTTTCAGTTTCCTCATAGAGGCAATGAAGTCGATGTCTGACATTTTCCTGTAATTTATGCAACTTTCCTCGATAACGGCAATGTTTGCCGTCAATACGGCTGCTCCACACACCCTCATGTCTCGACTAATATTCCCTCAGTTGGGGCGTTCACGACATGAGCAGCTTCCCTTGGGAAGAACAGCACAAATCTTCCGTACTTCAACGCTTTTGCTATCATGCACTACCGATGATAACAGCTCTTATTATGTATGCCAAAACAAAAATGTATTTGACATTTCTGAAGCTTTATGTGAAATATTGAAATTTAACGCTTCGAAATCAACTTATTAGCTGATTTTGATACTGGGCTTCCTATAATATTTTATTTTATGCATAATGTTATATATTTTCCTGGAAAAAAGTGAAGGCACCGATCCTAAGACAACTGAATGTGAAGTTTTGCTTAACGGTCGACTTATATCTTGGTGAGCATCGATAGCATGATCACAAACGAATGAACCGAGGGTCGAAATCAAGCAATCGCTGTGGCA